TTATTATTATTATTATTATCTTACAACAACAAAATTGTGCGAGACACTCACATCATCCAGGCCGTTCAAATCGCTCTCAGAATACGTTTCAAGACGCTGTGCAGTCGCCTGTATTTTTTCCAAGATCTGACGTTCTGGTGAGTTCAGTTGACCAGGATCATAATATTCTGCGTTGCTCTCCATCGCCATGTGGCTCAGGGTCTGTGAAGTGACCACTTTTTAAAGGGTTGTACGGATTTTAAAAAAAATAATGAATTGCATTGTGCAACGCACATATGGTGGCTTTTAAGGACTAGCGGGTTGACACAGATTTCGGGGGTTTCCAGAAATCTTGACCTACCCCAAAAGTGGGCATTACTCTACCTATAGGAGAAGTTTGGTTTCTTTGGTATGTATATTTTTTGCTTATATAAATAGATAAAGCTCTCCTTGCCTTTAAACGAAACTGAACGAGGGGCCAAATTTTACCTTCGATTTCCTCAAAACAGCATTATTCGGGATAGCCCCCCCCCCCCTCCAAATCGTGCTTAAAAGCGACCATATCCCCGCTCCACAGCTTTATAGGTCTATGTTGTTACCCCAGCAGCTCCTTGAACACTTAGAAGTATTCTCGGGAAGCAAACAGAGCGAGCAGCCGTTTAAGTGCTCAGACTCTAACAAAACCGATAAGACTTTTCACTGTCTAAAGCTCGGTATTCTTTCCCACCGTGGTAAAGTGAGGAAAATTCGTGTAATAAAGTGTCTTTCCCAAGGACACAATGTCGGGCCCCTGACGGGGTTTGGACAACGACTTTTCAGTTGCGAGCCCATTATAAAGAACCTAAAATCATAACTCTAGATCTTTCTGCCTTGAAACAGTCTCATTCAAACAAAGCTAAAGACAATAACTAATTATGTCACAACGGCATTAACAAGCAGCATTTCTTTTTGTCACACGCCAACTCATCATTACGGCTTTTCACTGTTGGGAGAATACTTATGTGTTGGCAGTGAAATATTGTTTACTTACACTAACTACCCTTTTACTTTTACTATCATCAGAAATTAGGCCCATCACTCTTTATGGAGAATCCCTTACAGAATTCAGTAATTTCAAGTACCTTAGCAGCATTATATCCAAAACTGTAGATTGCCTGGACGACGTCCACCAAATTAATACTTTAAAATGCATAGATCGCTTTTGTGAAATTAAAAACTATATGGAAGTCTAGATCATTTCATTGAAGACGAAATTTAAAATATATTATTGCAACTTTTTGACTGTATTGACATATGGTATGGTTCAGAGATATGGAAAATAAACAAAAACAATTCAACAAAAATTAAAAAGCTTTCAAACAAAATATTTACGAAGAATTTTACTAATAAAATGGAATGAATTTATTACAAATAATGAAATGAAGTGTTGGAAAGAGCTGCAATTGAAGATATCAAAACAACCATAAAAATGAGAAGATGGAGATATCTAGTACATGTTCTAAGAATGCTGAAGACAAGATTGCCCTATCAGACATGGTATTGGAAACCTATTGGAAAAAGAAAACGACGAAGACAAACTGGAAGCTATAGAGGCACAATATGGGAGAAGGCAATCACACAAGGCCTGGATTTGCCGAAGTTAGAGGACGTGACCAGAGGCAGACAAGCGTAGCGTCGACTGCTCTCCGCCTTATGTACTTGACGGTATAGGGAGAGAATATATCTTCTTCAGCCGTCAGTAATGGTACGAGCACAGTGAGTACGGGTATAGTTTGGAATATATTCAGGTCACGTGGTTAATTTCTCCTGCTTATCTATTTTGTAATTACCTCCCTAAAATTATGACAGCTCAACTTCACTAATTCATTATAATGAAAACCCCTACTTGCATCTTTTCGATGCTTCAGACAGCCGTAAATTTTGCCCCTAATTGTAGATAAGCAGCTCTTTGGTTAAATGTTAATTCGTCAATAGTGATGAATAAACTTGGAGAAAGATTCTCACCTGTACCTGGTTCCTCAATTTGCTGTCGAATCCCACCTCCTCGTGAGCCTCCACTGTTCCCGCCATGTTTTCCTCTTCGTCTTGTTCTTTGAGAAGAAACCTTCTATTATTGTACTCCTGCAATGTTTCGCCAAGGACTTGTGTAGCAAAGACCCTATTACTACTATTAGAGGTGATAATAACCGGAAGACTTTTCTGATGCGTGACGCTCTCTTGCAATGTGGAGCTAACGGCGTCGCAGAGGTATTGGCCGATTGTGTTATAAGTTGCCACAGGCCAGGTTAGCCACAGAAAACTGTCAGCTACAGTGCTGATTCTGCCGTCTGCTAATGCATCTTCCGTTTTGTTTTTCACTTCTATATCGTCGCCTCGCTGTAGTTTTGCTACACTGCTCCATTTGTTATGATCCCATTTTAATATTCTCAGCATGATGAGTTCAGAAATGTCGTGTTGGTGATCGGGGGTGAAACATTTCAGTGATACATTGGCTGTTTTTCCCACATTAACCTCTGACGTTGTTACATTCAGAACACAAGCATTTGAGGACAATGACAGCGCTGCTGCCAGGATCAGGTTCCCGGACACCCAGATGGCATCCATTCTTTTTGTAGAGCAGGTTACTTGGGTCACAAAGATCTTCAAGTAGTTTTGACAAGGAATCTATAGAAAATAAATGCAAAAAACATGCAATCAAGAGTTTAAGTTAAACGACAAAAGAATAAAGAATCAACCACACAAAGTCAAGCTGTGTCTGTGGAAAATATTGTATGTTTTCCTGTCAGAGTTCGATCTCTTCTTATAACTGTGGGTTCTTATAATGTTAGCAATAATCAAACCCTCAGTCGTCTATGAAGTCACTTCGGCTATCATCGGATTACTATAGCTACTTCTAATCACTTTAGTTCTTATAATGTACAGAACTTGCCACAATGGCCAATTTTGAGCATGACCACTAAATCGTTTGTGAACATCCATCCACCAACCTCGATACCCCTTTCCAAGAAGAAGAAGGAGAAGAAGAAGAAGACTTACCCTTTTTGAGCTTGCTTCCTTTAACAAAATGAACTAGCCAGATGGCGTCCTTTTATATACATAGGTTGGGACCATCGGAGTGAAAAACTTGACTTTCCGACCCCCAGATTAAGTCTATGATTTTAAATTATAATAATATATCATGCCCCTCTACCCAGATTTATTTGTTCAGAGACGTCCACAAGTTTGGGCGCTTATTTTGTTAGCCAACGGAGAGGAATTCTGAGATACCTTTCTCTTGGCTTTATGCTTTTAGCAAAACAAACCGCGGGTTGAGACTTCTCCGGGTTCACGGGGTTAAATGAAAAATGTAGATCTATTGTCATAAGTTTAACAAGCGTTCATATCAGAAGAAATGTCATGACGAGAAATTAGGTTTGCACGATATTATGTTGAAACCTGTCGTACCGGCGCCTGTGGTGTAACGGTGGGTCTTTCTTTTCTTTTCTTTT